TTCCATGTACCGGCTTTCAATGTGCATAACAACGATCTTTCCATCTGGAGTGCGGAAATGCTGTTTAAACCGCTTAAGGACTGCCCTATATCAGATATACTGTTACAGGGTGGCACCTGTCCGCAGAAGCACATATAAACACGTGATTTTGCATTTCCGGGTAGGGGGCACGTGCCCTAACCAAGGCGCCATTTGCGGCCACAGATGTCAATCACCGGGTCCTGGCCGGTAATTACCCGCTGGCGCCCGGCGACTACCGAGCATCTCCATTTACAAACAAACAATCTTCCTCCCTGTCAGCTCGGGCACATTGCTCCAGCCATTCAGATCAGTGTGATTACAGTGAAGCACCCCCGCCCGCTAGTTAAACACTCCCAGCACACAGTTAACCCTTTGATCGGCCCTCGCATTAACCCCTTCCTGCCCAGTGCCATTAGTTCAGTGTCAGTGCTTTTATTTTTTTAGAACTGATCACTGTATTGGTGTCACTGGGGTGTCAGTGACACAAAGTTAGTCGCCCCCCCCTCCCAGTGTCAGAATGTCCGCCGCATTCCCGCTAAAAGTCGCTGATCGCCGCCATTACTAGTAGTAAAAAAAAAAATTCCTATGATCTATACCGCCATTTGTAAGCGCTATAAATTTCACGTAAACCAATTAATTTACACGTATTGGGATTTTTTTTTTTTTTTTTTTTTTTTTTTTTAGAAAAGTCATGTCACAGAATACATTTTGGTCTAAATTTATGCCGAAATTTGATTTTTTTTATTTTTTTACTGCACATGTTTAATAGCAAAAAGTCCAAATTATTGTTTTTTTTTTTCTCAAAATTTTCGATCTTTTTTTGTTTGTAGCGGAAAAAATAAAAAACGCACAGGAGATAAAATCTCATCAAAAGAAAGCTCAATTCGTGGGAAGAAAAGGACACAAATTAAATTTGGATGCAGCGTTGCATGACTGCGCAATTGTCAGTTAAAGTAACGCAGCGCCATAACGCAAAAATTGGCCTGGTCAGAAAGGAGCGGAAATCCTTGGAGGGCGAGGGGTTAATACAAGGTTGGAGACTAAGAAGGAGTTTTGGAGTGGCAGCTGTTTGATGATATCTGTGCCCTAATCCAGTACAGCGTTGTATGAGGGTAAAAGACCGCGTGTACCACTTCAAAGATGGCCGCGGGTGTTCGCGCATGCGTGGTGACGTACGACCTAGCTCCACCCAGCGCGTTTCGTCAATAAGGCACATTTGTGCCTTAATTGACCGTTTTATAACATGACGGTCAATACTCTCCAGTGAGCCTCCTGTGAGCACTGAGTGGGGTGACACGTGGTGCATTCGGATACACTTGATAATCTTTATCATTGGAGACTCAGGATGTCAGGAATCAAGGAGTGACCAGAAAGGTGTGGACTGACACAGGGAAGCGCAGGTTTCAGGTATAGTATAATACAGGTTATTATTAGCCACCCAGATATATATATATATATATAAACGCACAGTGAGCAAACTAACCTTCCACTAATCTTAGGAGGTGCAGGAACACAGGCGTAGTCAGGGCTGGAGAGGTGGAATGGTCAGGCCGACCGTAGGGTTCTGTAACGACTGCCTGGTGGTACCTCTAGCGGTCCTCAGGGCAGGATTCCCCAGGGCGCGGAGTCTAAGTCCCAGTCTGCTATTCACCAGGGCCCCTGATGGTGGGGATGGACTTGGAGCAGACAGGAACCAGGTCGCGGCCCCTGAGTACACCTGCTAGTGATAGAGGGATCCGCCAGAGGTATGTGCAGGTACGGCTGGATCCGTGCAGGATGGATGGATGGCAGAGTAGTGAGCGTGGTCAGACGGGCCAAGTCAGCAACGTGCGGGCAGCAAGGTATCAAAGGAGCAGGCAGAGAATGGTCAAGGTCACAAGCCGGGTTCAGTAACTCACGGACAGCGCAGTACAGAGGATCAGGCAGAAGGATGGTCAGGGATGAGCCAGTAGTCAGAACAGGAGACGGTCAACAGGAATCAGGATCAGGCAGGGTCGGCAACAAGGTATCTTCTCACAGGAACTAGGAACAGGATACAGGGGCTCATGGGAAAACATACACCAAGGCCCAGAGCACAGGCCTGGTCATGCCTTATATACACCTTTCTGTAATCAGCCCCAGGTTTGGCTGATTGTGAGCTTCTGGCTGCTAAGAGCACCCGCTGGTCAGCTCTGGTACTGCAGCCCACACGGCAGGAGAGTCCCACCACCAGTGCTGAGAGCACCCGCTGGTCAGCTCTGGTACTGCAGCCCACACGGCAGGAGAGTCCCACCACCAGTGCTGAGAGCACCCGCTGGTCAGCTCTGGTACTGCAGCCCACACGGCAGGAGAGTCCCACCACCAGTGCTGAATCCATTCCTGACACAGGATTTGATCGATGGACATTATTTATATAGTGTCTGCTTGGCACCGGGACTGATTTGATCACTTTTTAGTGTTTATTTGTTCACCATTCACATTATTTATCAATTTATTTTTGGTTATTTTAGCGCTGCACCTCCTATACATATATGTTAGAGAGAAAAGATTATAAAAGATGGCGAGAAAGCTGACAGCTGAGTAAGCAAAAGATAGACATAGAGCAGCTAAGTGGGCGAGTGAATGATAGAGAGCAGCTGGGTGGGCAAATTATAGCAGGTGAGCGAGCAAAAAAGAGAAAGAATGAAAGGTTGGAAAAGATGAGGCGAGAGCTGGCAGGTGAGTGAGAAAAAGACAGAAGGAGAGCTGGAGGGTGGGCACAATAATGAAAGGTTAAAAAAAGATAGCAAGAGCGCCAACGTGAGAGAGAAAAGATTGAAAAAGATGGCGAGAGAGCTGACAGCTAAGCAAGCTAGACATGGAGCAGCCAGGTGGGCAAGTGAAAGACAAAGCGCATCTAGGTAGGCAAAACATAGCAGGTGACTTAGTAAAAATGATGAAGAGAATGAAAGGCTAAAAAAGATGGGGAGAGAGCCGACGGGTGAGCGAGTAAAAGACGGCGACAAACGTGGCAGGTGTGAGCAAAAGAAGGCAAGAAACCTGAAGGGTGATTAAGCAGAAGAATGAGTTAGCAGATCAGTGATGAGAACAAGAAGTTAAAAAAAAAAAAAAAAAAAAAAAAAAGAAGACTGCATGAGAGCTGGCAGGTGAGCAAGCAAAAGAAGGCGAGAGAGCTGGGAGGTGAGCGAGCAAAAGAAGGCGAGAGAGCTGGGAGGTGAGCGAGCAAAAGATGGCAAGAGAGCTGGAAGGTGAGCAAGCAAAAGATGGCGAGAGAGCTGGGAGGTGAGCAAGCAAAAGAAGGAGAGAGAGCTGGGAGGTGAGCAAGCAAAAGATGGCAAGAGAGCTGGGAGGTGAGCAAGCAAAAGATGGCGAGAGAGCTGGGAGGTGAGCAAGCAAAAGATGGCGAGAGAGCTGGGAGGTGAGCGAGCTAAAGATGGCAAGAGAGCTTGGAGGTGAGCGAGCAAAAGAAGGCGAGAGAGCTGGGAGGTGAGCGAGCTAAAGATGGCGAGAGAGCTTGGAGGTGAGCGAGCAAAAGAAGGCAAGGCAGAGAGAGCTGGGAGGTGAGCGAGCAAAAGAAGGCGAGAGAGCTGGAAGGAGAGCGAGCAAAAGATGGCGAGAAAGCTGGGGAGAGCGAGCAAAAGATGGCGAGAGAGCTGGGAGGTGTGAGCGAGCAAAAAAAAAAGGCGAGAGAGCTGGGAGGTGAGCGAGCAAAAAATGGCGAGAGAGCTGGGAGGTGAGCGAGCAAAAGATGGCGAGAGAGAGCTGGGAGGTGAGTGAGCAAAAGATGGCAAGAGAGCTGGGAGGTGAGCGAGCAAAAGATGGCAAGAGAGCTGGGAGGTGAGCGAGCAAAAGATGGCGTGAGAGCTGGGAGGTGAGAGAGCAAAAGATGGCGAGAGCTGGGAGGTGAGAGAGCAAAAGATGGTGAGAGATGGGAAGTGAGCAAGCAAAAGATGGCGAAAGAGCTGGGAGGACCGACTAGGAGTAGGGAAAGAGAGAAAGAATGTAAAAGATAGAGAGAGCATGCGATTACGAGGAAGAGAGAATACAGCTCATCACAGATAACAAGCAATTACTCATCCAGAATGGTAATAATTGCCTTAAAACACACTTAACAAGGATTCATTGTTTCTGGCCCAAGTGGTAATTTCCGGAGGGACAATCCATGTAAATTATAGACTTCTCCTTGTTTCCTTGTCGTGGAAATAAAGAAACATCTACAGTATATAGAGATACGTTTCTTTCTGGTACAACGCGTCCCACGCCTCCCCCTGCTAAATTTAGAAGGTCATTTAAACATCACATTCCAGATCTGCGGGGAACTTTCGGGGACAGACTTCGGGCCATTGACTGCAAAGAAACAAGTTCAATCCACTCATTTCCATCCATTCAACAAACTTTTGGAAAAAACACAATAAAATATAACAAAAATTACAACGTACAAAAAAACAAAACTGCTCCTTGACCTGGGAGGACTTAAGGGAGCCAATATGAAGCAGATAATAAGACTAGCTGTATTTAAAATAAATGGAACTGTTAAATTAATGTAGATTAAAGGTGGGTTTTTCTAATCCAATTGATTTTATCCACGTATACTCCCCCCTCAGATGTCCCCAAACCCCCCCACCTTCTACTTACCAATCTCCATTTCAATGAAGGTTGTTTTTTCTAATCCAATTGATTTTACCCAGGTATACTCCCCCCCACCCCCTCAGATGTCCCCACCCCCCCCCCCCCCCCCCCCACCTTCTACTTACCAATCTCCATGTCAATGAAGGTTGTTTTTTCAAATCCAATTGATTTTACCCAGGTATACTCCCCCCCACCCCCCAGATGTCCCCAAACCCCCCCCCCCCCCCCCACCCACCACCTTCTACTTACCAATATCCATTTCAATGAAGGTTGTTTTTTATAATCCAATTGATTTTACCCAGGCATACTCCCCACCCCCCAGATGTCCCCAACCCCCCCCCTCCCCCCCACCACCACCACCTTCTACTTACCAATCTCCATTTCAATGAAGGCCGCCTCATCCGGCAATGCCCGGGGTATCACCCCGGGTCACTAAAACTTGTCCGTAGCAGAGTGGCCATAGAAAAAAGGAAAAGCACCACTGCAAACACTGGGATTGCCGGGGAAAGCTGCACCGCGAGATAGCGACACCTGTGTGAGGAATACAAAGCGTCTATGAACAGCTTCTCCATCAATTCATCTCTGCAGCCAGATTAATAGGAGCACAGGTCTGCATCACATTGTCAAGAGTTATTAACGTCACACTTCTGTGCTGAAGACATTGGAAAGGCAACAGCTCATGGCTCTTTGGGGTATATTTATTACAAAATTTGAGTTACGCATCCCACCAAACTTATGTATATTGGATTCTGTGCGAATGATGGCAAAATCGAAATGTTTTTAGTCCATTTTCTGCCTAGGTCAAACATTATACTCCACCTTGTGTATTTTGAAACAAGACACCCCCAACAAATGCACTGGGCATTGACCAAGTTGTCTGGGCTGCAATTTTTCCACGTAAAACAGGTCTCTAATTGGGAACTCATTTATATCCATTCAATTACCTTTTCTACAGTTTAGACTCCATTAGACAACAACATGGGGTGCTCAGGGCATCAAACTTCACAACATCCCCTACACCTTCCTGGTCTCCAGTTGTGTTGCCCTAGGTGACTGTCCATCACCTTGACATACAGCATAGATGCCAAATGATTTGCTGATGCTGTGTCCTGGGCCCTGTCCCGGGGGGCACAGCATCAACCTTATTTGGAATAGTAAGACAGCTCCTGGAGGCAGCTTTGGCCCGGGAGGAAGCTTTGGCCTGGGAGGCCTCGGGAGGCAGCTTTTTTGGCCCGGGAGGCCTCGGGAGGCGGCTTTGGCCCGGGAGGCCTCCGGAGGCGGCTTTGGCCCGGGAGGCCCTCCGGAGGCGGCTTTGGCCCGGGAGGCCTCGGGAGGCGGCTTTGGCCCGGGAGGCCTCGGGAGGCGGCTTTGGCCCGGGAGGCCTCGGGAGGCGGCTTTGGCCCGGGAGGCCTCGGGAGGCGGCTTTGGCCCGGGAGGCCTCGGGAGGCGGCTTTGGCCCGGGAGGCCTCCGGAGACGGCTTTGGCCCGGGAGGCCTCCGGAGACGGCTTTGGCCCGGGAGGACTCCGGAAGACGGCTTTGGCCCGGGAGGCCTCCGGAGACGGCTTTGGCCCGGGAGGGCTCCGAAGACGGCTTTGGCCCGGGAGGCCTCCGAAGACGGCTTTGGCCCGGGAGGCCTCCGGAGACGGCTTTGGCCCGGGAGGCCTCCGGAGGCGGCTTTGGCGGACAAAGGCATTTGAGGTTTTTTTTCTGACTTTTTTCTTGGCGATCAGCACTGCGTACAAAGATGGCAGAGGAGATGGGCACAAGCCACCCATCATCAGGTACACTTTCCTGCACTGCATGCAGATACAACATGTTGTGAAAAACAAGATCCTAACATGATAAAGAAGTTATGTGTCATTTACAAAAACTGGTCCTTCTGCTTTGAAATGAGGTTACAACATATCTAAAATCAGACTTCACAAGGTACAAATTGCTACCATACCACAATGGCAAAGTCATCTCTCTTCACCTGGGTGTAGCCGACAGTTTTAAACATTTGGGTGCCACTCATCTGCAGAGAGGTCGCCTGGTGGAGTGGTGTACGGGATGGAGTTATCGGCATTCACACTGACACATCACAAATGGAACTCTTCATATTGTCCATATTGTCCTAATTTGGCCATCATAAACCAGGGGTTCCTAGAGCTGTGGCTGACCTCCCATCTAATGGTGCTATGACCAACACAACTTGGAAAAGCCAGCAGCATGATAGCAATGATCTTTTCAACTGACTGAAAGGGTAGTATTCTTCCCACCAACGTAAAGAGCATTCGTGCCAAAGACCACCAATACAAGGACATTCTTCCCACTGACAAGCATTGCAAGGGACATTCTTCCCACTGACCACCAATTTATTGAGCACTCTTTCCCCCCTGACCAGCTAATGCAAGAAGGGCATTCTTTCCATTGACCACTAATATAAGGAGATTTCTTCCTGCTGATCACCTTTGGGAGGTGGGCATTCTTTCCATTGACCACCACTGTAAGGAGCATTCTTCCCACTGACCGCCAATGTAATGGGCATTCTTCCCACTGACCGCCAATGTAAGGGGCATGCATCCCACTGACCGCCAATGTAAGGGGCATGCATCCCAATGACCACCAGTTTAAGGATTATTCCTCCCATTGACCACCAATTTAAGAAGCATTCCTCCCACTGACTACTAATTTATTGAGCATTCTTCCCTCTGACCGCCAATTTGAGCAGCATTCTTCCCTCTGATCGCCAATTTGAGGAGCATTCTTCCCTCTGATCGCCAATTTGAGGAGCATTCTTCCTCTGACCGCCAATTTGAGGAGCAGCTCTTCCCTCTGACCGCCAATTTGAGGAGCATTCTTCCCTCTGACCGCCAATTTGAGGAGCATTCTTCCTCTGACCGCCAATTTGAGGAGCATTCTTCCCTCTGACCGCCAATTTGAGGAGCATTCTTCCCTCTGACGCCAATTTGAGGAGCATTCTTCCCTCTGACCGCCAATTTGAGGAGCATTCTTCCTCTGACCGCCAATTTGAGGAGCATTCTTCCCTCTGACCCAATTTGAGGAGCATTCTTCCGTCTGACCGCCAATTTGAGGAGCATTCTTTCTGACCGCCAATTTGAGGAGCATTCTTCCGTCTGACCGCCAATTTGAGGAGCATTCTTCGTCTCCGCCAATTTGAGGAGCATTCTTCCGTCTGACCGCCAATTTGAGGAGCATTCTTCCGTCTGACCGCCAATTTGAGGAGCATTCTTCCGTCTGACCGCCAATTTGAGGAGCATTCTTCCGTCTGACCGCCAATTTGAGGAGCATTCTTCCGTCTGACCCCAATTTGAGGAGCATTCTTCCGTCTGACCGCCAATTTGAGGAGCATTCTTCCGTCTGACCGCCAATTTGAGGAGCATTCTTCCGTCTGACCGCCAATTTGAGGAGCATTCTTCCGTCTGACCGCCAATTTGAGGAGCATTCTTCCGTCTGACCGCCAATTTGAGGTGCATTCTTCCGTCTGACCGCCAATTTGAGGAGCATTCTTCCGTCTGTCTGACCGCCAATTTCCGTCTGACCGCCAATTTGAGGTGCATTCTTCCGTCTGACCGCCAATTTGAGGAGCATTCTTCCGTCTGACCGCCAATTTGAGGAGCATTCTTCCCTCTGACCGCCAATTTGAGGAGCATTCTTCCGTCTGACCGCCAATTGCGCCTACCCCTTAAAGTGTGATCTCCTTTATCATGGCTACTCTGGCTTTCTCCTTTCTACTGATTTATTTATTTCAGGTACTTATATAGCGCCGTCAATTTACGCAGCACTTTACATATATATTGTACATTCACATCAGTCCCTAACCCTCAAGGGGTGTACAATCCAAGGTCCCTAACTCACATTCATACACATAGTAGGGCCAATTTAGACAGGAGCCAATTCGCCTACCAGCATGTCTTTGGAGTGTGGGAGGAAACCGGAGTACCTGGAGGAAACCCGCACAGGCACAGGGAGAACATGCAAACTCCAAGTAGGAGGTGCCGTGGTTGGGATTTGAACCAACGACCCCAGTACCGCCAGGTGGAAGTGCTAACCACTTAGCCACTGTGTCGCCCGAATTCAATCCACCTGCATCCTCTGTAATCCCGTGATATACGCACAAAATTTTCTCAAAAAACAAAGTATAAAGTTTATATACAACGGCCGGACGGGAGTAGTGCAGGAGCGGGTGGCCATTTATAAACGGCCTCCCCGCCCTCTGCTTGTGTACGCTCCCTGGGACCGCGCAGCACCGCGATCCGGTGCCCGCTGTGTCCTCCGGACACAGTGGAACACCGATCGTCGTACGGGACCTCTGTGCGAGGTCCCAATCATGCAGAGTAGTAAGCAAGATGTCACAACAGCCTTGTACCATGTGACAAGCTGTGACCAATCACAGCTCACACAGTATTTCTCAATGGCTGCAAGAATGCAGCCAGAGAGGAGAAATTATTGCTTTTACAGCCTTTATGGGTGTAAAAGCAATCAATGTAAAAAAATTAAAAAATAAATCTTCATCACCCCTCACAAGTAGTACAGTGTCACCATGGTGACATTGTACTGCTAGGGTGACAGTATGTAAAAAAAAAAAAAACATAAATAATCATATTAAAAAATAAAACAAAAATATTTTTTTGTTTTTAAATAATTTTTGGTTATAAATTAATTTGGGTTATTTTTTTTTTTTTTTTACTGAAAAGATAACTGAATAAATTTTGGCCAAGATTTATAATGAAAGATTATTTGCCAAATGTTATAAGAAAAACACTTTTTTTCAAAATGTTTGGACTTTTTCATTTATATTGCAAAAAAAATAAAAATCCCAGTGGTGAAAAAAATAGCACCAAAATAAAGCTTTATCTGTCTCAAAAAAAAGTCAAAAAAATTCATATGGGTACAGTGTTGCATGACAGCGCAATTGTCATTCAAAGTGTGATAGCACTGAAAGCTGAAAATTGGCTTAGACAGGAAGGGGGTGAAAGTGTCCGGACTGGAAGGGGGGAAAGTGTCCGGACTGGAAGGGGGGAAAAGTGTCCGGACTGGAAGGGGGTGAAAGTGTCCGGACTGGAAGGGGGTGAAAGTGTCCGGACTGGAAGGGGGGAAAGTGTCCGGACTGGAAGGGGGGAAAGTGTCCAGACTGGAAGTGGTTAAAAGACTAAAAGGGATCAAAAGAGAATTTAAATGTTCGAGTTTAGGCTTTGGACACAAAAAGTCGCATGAAAATTCACAGCCCACTGATTTCAATGTGACTTAAAGCGGACCTCCACCCAAAAGTGGAAGTTCTCCTTTAAGGACTGCCCCCGCTCCCCATTAAGGATTGGCACCTTTAGGGGGCAGGGGGGGAGTGTGGGTACCCGAATTTGACAGGTACCCGCTCCCACTTCCAGTCTGTACGGGTTACAGTATTTTTATTCCAAATTAAAATATACTCAACTTATGGTGCGCACTTTTGCTGGTGCACATCAGTATCCAGGCATGTATTATGGATAACCAACAAAATGGCC